ACCTCCTAAACTTACGTCAGCAGGTGGGTTCGAGATTGAACGCACCTCCTCGTAGCCAATAGGAAAGCCGCTAATACGCTACGTATGTGATAATATATTATATATGCTGTTTCAATTGTTTGGCAGTTTTTCCGAATATATTGACTATTTAACGTAGTCCTTTTATTACTTGCAACGAATTCAGTTCAATCATACAGTTCGCTCTTGGAAATATTTTAGTTATTTTTTTATTTCTATAGTTTTTTTAAAAACAACAAACGTACATGCAGTTTACGAATAAAAACAAAACAAACTTGCTTTATATTTCATCGTTTCCCATCTTATATCTATTCTTGTCATTTCTTTAAAGTAAATTTTAAAAAATCGCTTTACAGCTCATTGATTGTATGAAACGACTTATTCATTTGTTTTCATTCTTTTTTACTGAAATCTTAGGGGCGGAACATTAGAAATCCCAGGAGGGGTGGGGGGATGTGAAAATTCCCCCCAAAAAATTCGTGCAAAAAAAAATGCCTGGAAAATGAGATGAGTGAAATGACCACCCACTACCCCACTTTTGAAATCGCTAGCAGCCTTCCTTTTCCCGGGTGTAAATAACCGTCCGGAATTAGTGCCTCCGGCCCGAAAGTGGGTAGTGAGTGGTCATCTCGCTGATCTCAAAAAATAGCGGATTGCCAGGAGTAGAATGAGCCATCTGCTAAGATTTCAGTAAAAAAATGACAACATATGAAAAAGTCGTTTCGTACAATGAGCTATAAAGCATTAAAAATTCCACTGTAAATTCCTTCAACAATTAGTTATATCGAGTGAGATGGTCAAAATTCTGATATAATGTTTTCAAGATTTGTTTGAAATATTGCATGCGTACATATACTGTATACGCTTAAAGTGGAAGTCAAGTCCGTAATGTAAACATACGGTTTGTAAACAATCACGTTTCACAGAATGAGCTTTGAAGCACTTTTTATGTTTGAAGAAGTGATAAGAATTGATTTACTATGGGAATCGTGAAATATAGTACAAGTTTGCTTTGAATGTTTAATATTTATGAATTTTGTCGCTTTTAATAATTTCTTGCGTATTTATAAATGTACATGCAGCTTTCCCTTTCAGTCAAGCTGTAAGTTTCGTTCCTTACATTACCCTGTTTAATTTATTAAAAAAGGTAAAATCTAAAGGAGAATAAATTAATTTGAAGACCTAACTGAAATTACTCCTCAACTTGAACTTACCAAGTATTAAAAACAATTCATCGGCAAAGACGACAAAGGCAGTTTAGTTATTAAAATGAACATTTCAAAACATTTTACGAAGCGATTCAGTTCAAATTTTACATTAAATCAAAGTCCACAAAATGCAAAATAACATACCTACGTACAGTACATAATTCGGAAATTGATTGTTATATTTAAAAGCAATAATCTTTCAACTATTTTTGGCGACTTGTTCAAAAAAATATAATATTTATGATTGTCGAGTTGCCATGACAACACTGACGTAAACGCGAGCCTGTTCAGTATTGATCAATTACTAACATTGTAGGTCTACATCATGTAAGTCAATGTTTGGAGAATATAGGCGAGGGGTTGCTGCATGCATGTATTTCTAGTTTTAAATATGATGTACTGTCTGAATATCTCACACCATTTTCGTTCGCTATACTTCTAAATGAATATGAAATAGAGTTTATGTTCAGAAATATTCGAAACATTCGAAATTTGGGCAATGTCCACATTCGAGGTCCTCACATTGTTATGAGCAGAACCAATGCGCAGAACGGACTTGACTTCCACTTTAAGGAATGGAGCTATAACCTAATGAACAAAATTTTGATCTAGACAAGTCTAGTAAAAAATGTCATCACAGCTAGAAAGAGCATCACAAAATTAGTAATATTCCGAAGTTTCGTTGCGAAATGTTCCATTAAATATATATATATATATATATATATTTATATATATATATATATATATATATATATATATATAT